AATCAATTGACCGCTTTATTACCCAGATGCTCCATGGGGCTGCCATATATGCCAATCAATTAATTGACCCCCCAAACCACCACCACTGGCCTGATCGGTAAAGATGGTAAATTATATGCCAGTCCCACACAGGTCGTGTCTGGGTGTGTACCTTTCTTTTCCCGACTCCAAGAGACGCGTGCGAAGGGGGACTCGGTAGGAGCACCGAACACGTGGGATCCAGTCGTACCGAACCTGAGGTACGGTACGACTGGAATGTCTAGGGAGAGAGAAGATGAGAAAACCAACTTGTAGTGCTATGTAACAGTTAAATGGAAAGAAGAACCAGAAGAAAATTGGAAGCCTGGCACCCACCCACCGTCCCAACCTTCGAATGGTACAGAGTCTCCACAGTTTCACACCCAGCTGGCGCCGCCGAGTCGGGCGCGCCATTGGGGTCCAGGTGCGGCAGCTGAGAGTACCCTTGTCAGTGGCTGCGCTGAGCTTCTGCGTGGCAGGAGTGGGGCCGGATGGGACGCCCTATATTGAAAACTGACGACCTTGAGAACGGAGCCGTTTTGTAACCATGTTCCTGTAGGAACCAGGGTTTCTGCGACCAAATGCTGCAGACTTGACTTGACCTTGGAATTTGGTGGTTTGTCCATTTTGTAGATGAGCATCGTCCAGGATAGTTCCAGCTTCTAGTACAGTCTATATGTTCCTGCTTGAGCAAGCAGGCAAGCCAGCCACTGCCAGCAGTTCATGAACCACTGAGGAAGCTGTAGCGATGACCTCGGATGGTCCTCACACCAAGAGATCACTGCACTGCGAATTTGTTGGAACGGCCACAGCGGAGGAGCTTTGCAGCTTTGGTGCTTGGTGCAAGGATGGTACTTCTTGCTGCAGGGCCTCCCATCTCAGTGTGAGGCGAGTGATGTTTTCGTTTGTGAATGAGTGCTTGAAAGGTGAATTGAGTGTTCGGTTCAGGCAGACGGCTGGGTGTTGGCGTTCCAACCCCCCAAATCGTTTTTACCCGACAGTACTACTTAAGAATCCTCGGGCTCGTGTTGGAAATGACATGGCTCCCTTGGCAAATTGATATCGGTTCATGGACAGTCCATCCTGAGAAGCCCTAGGGCTCCAACGCTCTTGTCGTACCTCCATTTCGTTTCAGTGGGGCTGGGGTGGGTGGATTTGGGGGATTTGTTCCGAACCTGAGGATATGGGACAGCCCTAGAGAATGATCAGACTCCCTCACTCCTTTGGCCACAGTGCATTCACTATTTCCCAGACGCTCCATGGGACTGCCATATATGCTGGACCCTCCTGGCACCCACCCCAGTCCCACCGAACCTCAGGTTCGGTACTTGGAGGTCTATAGGGTCACAGCAGTGGAAATACTGTATAGCCGCATAGCCTGATACCCTGTGAACTGGAAAAGAAACCTTACCGGGCATCACCACTGGCTGGACATCCACCACTGGCTGCACATCGCCATTCGATGAAGACGCGCATGCGCGCATCGGGTGCCGTCCACACCGTGGACGGTGTTCGCCATCTTGGTTGCCACAACTAATATAATTATAGCAATGGGCTCCAACCTACTAGCAGTTACCATCGATACAAAACCACAAGATGCCACCACAACTCAATTCTTACAATACCCCACCAGAGGTTCTTCGCCAGTGAGACCCTTTCGACGTCTGGGTCGTGTCCGCGCGCATTTCAACGTCCTCACTGCGCGGAGGGCATGCGGAATTGGCTCATTGGCTATTGCCTGAGCCTCTCGATGGTGCCCCCCCATGGGGTTGTTGTACAGGGACTTTGGTTCCACCCCAAATGGGGTTGGCCCCATATGGGGCAGCAAGCAAAATGAACCTTTGGGGCCAAGTTTGTATCATTCCAATGCACCGTCACCAGTCTGCACCCCACGAAGTTTAAGGGCTTGAGCTAAGGGAGCTAAGGGACATTAAGGGACCATCGTTTGATTGCGTATTGATGGAGGAACCTGGGGTAGTGATGCAGATGCTCGACACGAAGGGACCAGATTGCTTTGTGTTCAAGGTCTTCACCCTATTTAACTCAGAGCTTCGTCTACTCGTACCAATCACATCCAATCACTAGACATGTGTGAGTGTGTATTAAAATAGGGAGACACCCAACCAATGGCTTTTGGCCATTTTCTTTCAGGGGTCGAACTGGGAGGTCTCCCTATTTAACAGGTTGTTGCTAGTGTCCCCCTACATAGGTCGCATGGCAGATCGATTCGGATATGATGCCGAGTGTTCGTTTTTGCCAAGAACCTGGTCATGAGCCTCCAAGGGCAAGAAAACCCGTTGCAGAAAAACTTTACAACACAAACAAAAACAACATAGTTATATATGATATGACATTGCCAGAGATTGTTGACATTATGTTCTATGATTTTCTTTCAGGAGGTGCTCGTTTCAATTTCTGTGTGTTCGCCATTCAAGACTGGATGACAGATGTTGAGACGGGACCCCCACTCACTGCCACTCACTCCATCCCACGTGCATTCCAACGAGGGCCCCTGGAGTGGAAGCTGAGCACGTTAAGGTCACGAAACCGCGAAGAACGATCCACAGTTTCTGTGAACGCAGTGAAGATCCAAAGTGACAGGTCACGCGGTACTTAATATATAATCATATATGTAGACTGCTGATGAACAAAAACTCCCATATGAAGAGGTTATATGTGTATTCACGATTCTATTCTACATGGTCACTTTTCATTTTCAACATTGTGTCTACAGGATCACAGATTCTTTGGTTTCATTTTTCTACTTGATCACACATGTGTTTTTCAATATTATCGATTCTACATGGTCCTTAGTTATGATTCATTTGGGCAGCCAAACGGAGACACCCTATCGCTAAAGTTACCCCCGCCAAATGACTGGTTCAGTCAGCTTCTGTGCAGTTCTTGGGCATTGAATATGGGTGTCAAAATCATTGAACTGGTGCCACAAACGTAGGGAATGAGGGTGGCTATAGATCCAATTTGGCAGCTCGGAGAGAAGCACCAAGAAGCTCTCATTCAACCGTTGCAAAATCGTCACAGTCTGAGGTTCTGGCCCGTGAGAATCGTGATGACTTGATATCCAGATGGTTGACTCACGAAGAGAATTCAGGGTTGCATAACCCAGATGCGACTAAGGGGACAGCCATATATGCTGATCAGTTGGGGTGGTTTGGGGGGTCAATTGATTGGCATATATGGCAGTCCCATGGAGCGTCTGGGTAATAAAGCGGTGAATTCCTAAAACAACCCTGAAGAGCTCGTTTGTTTTGGTCTAAGACTCACTCAGATGATTGGCAAGCCACCTTTCTTTTCATTCTGGTGTCCGGTTCTGAGGGAGGAATGTGATCCATCTCAAAGATCAAGTTCCTGAAGTTCCATGTTTCTTGACCTTGAGACCCCGCGGTTCTACGCGCGGATCCCGCGTAGAACGCGCGAGAGGTACCGTTTGCTAACGTCTTGGCCGTCGTCTCGTTGATCTGGTGGGTCACCGCTGGGCACTCCAAGATCAGTTCCGAGTGCCAAAACGTGGCGCCCTACTTGTGGCTGGGCGTGGCATGGTGGATGGGATGTATATGGATGTATGGGTGGGAAATGTGGGAGGGAGTCAACTTGAAGATCGAAGCCAGCCCAATTCACGGCAGGGATCGCTTTTCGTTGACGGGGTGGAGGCCATGACATTGGACTAAAGGACGACAAGTCCCTGCATCCAGGCATTCAGACTCGATTTGAGCTGTAGTCAATACATGTCAATACCAGCAAGAGAACGCTCTGGTTGTGCTTATTTATAGGATTCATATTTCCCCATTGGAATCCCCTTTGACGGAATTGTTTGTCACCATTAAATCCATTGCCGGTTGCATCAAGGTCACGGCACGTGTTCAACTTGTGTTTTCTTCAGGTCGATCTACCGAACTGGTGAAAAAAGGTGACATCACTCACGTCCCAAGTCGTCCGGTTCATTTCGCCCATTCAGATCTTGTCCTAAAGCCCCCGCGGGAGTCGAGGACAGGACGTGGCGTTGTTCCGGTGCTCCAGTCCTTCACCGCTTCTTTTCCGGTGTAAAGCGAGACGAGACTGAGTAGAAGAAAGTCCGAGACTTAACGTGTGATACCATGCCTCCAACATGATATAGGCAACACAGCAGAGTTCAACCACTGGAAGTGACAGCTTCTAGAAGTGGAACTGTCCAGCTTGTCAAGTCTTCCAGCATGACCAGCTGGCAGCTCCAATGGCAGCTGTAGCGTACGCACAAGCCATTCTTCCATCAATCAAACAGCCTGTGCACTGCACGTGATAGAAGGGGAAAGCATCAACGGCAGCTGTCACCAAGTCGCGCAACCCGGTAAAGATCATGAGATCCCGAAACACGAGCTATACCGGTGGCTCCGGCAGAGATAATGGCTGCGCAGTCCCATACAGCATTGCGCGCCAATGTCGCACTTGCTCAATGGCGCCAGTGGAAGCACACCCTGCGTTTGAGGGTGTCGCAAATGAAAGATGTAACAAGAGTGACGAAGTAGACATTCTTGCAGAGGGGGTCTAGATACAACTCAAGAGATCTCAAGAGTAGAACCTGTGAATACATAGTCTGAATGAAAGATATGCTCCTTGGTCCTCTGGTCCCTTGGTCCTCTGGTCCCTTGGTCCTCTCATCCTCTGGTCCTTCGTCCTGGTCTTCGGGTCCTTGGGTCTGTACTTTCGAGGCAAGACGCGTTCAAGGTGATTTGGAAATCTGGTCATACATCCTGTGAAGCACTGTAGCAGACCTTTTATCACCAGACGTAGCAGACCTTTTTTGTGAGCCACCCTGACGGTAAGATTTGAATGAAGAAGGTGCCATTCCAAGGTAGCAAACCTTTTGTCAGCCACTTGAGGGCAAAATTTAGAGGAAGAAGGAGCCATTCCAACGTTGCAGACCTTTTGTTAGCCTTGCGAGGTTAAAAAATAGAGGAAGAAGTTGCCATTCCAACGTAGCAAGCCTTTGTTTTGTGAGCAACCGCGCCTGCCACGCAATCTGCACTTCGAGGTTCAAGTGCTGCGCCTGCACTGAAATCTGCAGTTCCAGTGCACAAAGTGCTGCGCCTGCCACGAGCCCTGCAACGGAAGGTGCTCAAAGTGCTGCGGCTGCCACGAAATCTGCAGCTCCAGTGCGCAAAGCGCCGCTCCTGCCACAAAACCTGCCACTGGAGGTGCTCAAAGTGCTGTGCTTGCCACGACGAAATCTGCACTTCCAGTGCGCCAAGTGCTGCTCCTGCCACGAAATCTGCTACTGAAGGCACTCAAAGTGCTGCGCCTGCCACGAAATCTGCACATCCAGATTCACATCGCGCAGCGCTGCCAAGGCGATTCGCATTGGCAGGCGCAGCTCTATGTGAAAGGATATTTTGTTTTTGATAGGATATAGACAAGTTTCTTTTTGATATATATTTATTCCCGAGAGCGTTTGGGAAGGGTTTTTTTCGCAAAAAAGCATCTGTAAAACTATGTCTCATCTACATCTGCACATCTACATCTCTGCTCATCTTCACATCTGCACGTCTACATTTGCACATCTACATCTCTGTTCATCTTCACATCTCTGCTCATCCTCACATCTGCGCATCTACATCTCTTCTCATCTTCACATCTTCACATCGGCTCAACCGGGTCAACTGTGTCAACTGGCTTCAACCGGGTCAACTGGGTCCACCACCACCACGACGACAACCACGACTAGTACTGCTACGGCTACGTGTCAATGGGTCAATTGGGGAACTGGGTCCACCACCACTACTATCACCGCACCATACTACTGCTTTTACTACCACTGCTACTACTGTTATGGGTCCACTGGGTTGAAGGTCTGGCAGCGGCTACTACTGGGCATGTTCCATCAAAGATCAATCCCTATACCTAGTGGCAGACACAACATATCCCAGTCTGAACAGTAAAAATCAAGTTCAACACACGGGTTCCTGTGTGGAGCTTGGATGGAACCCTTCCTCTGATTAGTTGTGAACTCTCCAGGCTCCACCACTACTACTATCACTACCGCCACTATGACGACCACGAATACGAATACGAAGACTACTATACCACTGCTCCTCCTCCTCCTGCTGCTACTACGTGTCAACTGGCTTCAAATGGGTCAATAGCTGGGTTCAGGCCGGGTCAACTGGGTCCACCTACTACTAGTACTACGACGACTACTATTACTGCTACTCTTACTCCTACTCCTACTCACTTCTACTACTACTACGACGACGACGACTACTACTACTACTACTACTACGACTACTACTACTACTACTACCACGACTACTACTACTGCTACTACTACTACTACTACTCCTGCTACTACTACTACTACTACTAGAAAAATTATCTAACAACTAGAAACCAAGCTCAGCACCAGACGTCCCTTGTTGAGGTTGGTTGGGGACTTTCCCTGATCCCGTTGAGACCCCAGTTGATCCAGTTGACTCACTGCCTCCAGCCGACCCGAGTCCAGTTGCAGTTGAACCCAGTTGACACGCAGTCATAGTAGTAGAAGTAGTAGTAGTAGTAGCAGTAGTAGTAGTAGTTGTTGTTGTTGTTGTCGTGGTGGCGGTGGTAGTGGTAGTGTTGGTGGTAGTGGTGGTAGTAGTAGTAGTAGAAGTAGTAGTAGTAGGAGGAGTAGTAGTAGTAGTAGTGGCGGTGGTGGTGGACCTCGTTCATACTAAATCTCCGGACCCGGTTGGCCCAGATGAACCCAGTTGACTCCATCTGATGGTCCCAGTTGAGCCAGTCGAAACCAGTTGATCCAGTTCACGCAGTGGCCATCACTGAATGTCATCCTTTTCAACTGTGTTCAACTGGGATATTCTGTTCAACTGGGACCACAAACTTACCGCCCCCCTGTGCCGACACACTCGGATGTTCCTTTGAAAACAGGTCAACCATGGTCAACCTCTTTTTGAAGAGAGGAACCGGGTCCACATTAAGCCACTTCGCTCCAATTCGCGCCCCTAACCTCAGCACATGTTCGCTGCTCCTAGGTCAGAGTTCCTTTGGGCTGTGCAGACGCGCGGGATTTGGACGTTGATTTGCATCGTGATTTTTGCCGCTGCTGTCTTCGTTCTCAGGCGGGGATGGGACGGAGGTAGTGCCATCACTTGAACATAAATATCCACCAAAGAACTGCCCAAGACGCGGATGGAGTGCGAGTGCCCCCCGTGTTTGTGTCGAAAAACTTGAAAAAATCGGGCAATGGATGTGTTGACATCAACAAGTTCAAGAACTGTTTGATCCCTTTTCCTGCGAGGGCAAAGGCTCAGTAAACCGCTTGAACCCTGGCAGCGAAGGCCAGGTAGAATGACACAGGAAAGCCGGTGACAGGACCTCAATTTTTGAGGTTTTCAACCACCATTGTGAGTGCAAGATGCACTCCAGGACCGACACCTTCTGAGGCATCTATCTACATAGACATAGTCTCTTATAGAGGTGAGTCGGGGTGTCCAAAAATTTACGGACTTGGAAGGTCCTGGCTATGAATTGAAGTATTTTTCAATAATAGAGCAACTCCTTTGAAAGACTGAGCGAAAGAAACCACTGGATCTCACACTCCCAAGAATATATTTATGTAAAGAATAAGACTAGCGAGGCAAGGCTTTAAAGAAACAAGAACCAGGGAATTTGCAACAAAAACACATACCAGGGCCTTCAAGGGGTGGTTAACTGGACACCCCTTAACGGCTAAGGGGCCTAAGGGGCTATAAATAGACACCCCGACAGGAGGGTCCTGGTACAAAAAAAAAGGGAAGTCGACATTCTGAGTTTCCCCAGTTTTGACCTTTACATCGATGGCGAAAGCCATGCCCGGCTCGGGCATCGACCATTCAGGTTCCCTACGGACGGACGTGGACAGGTTTCAGACCCAGACACGACTACTGTAATGGGACTGGCATAGGACTACCGATCAGGCCAGGGCCAGGGGGGGTCTGTCTGGGGCGGCAGTCCGTCCTGGCAGTCCCATGGACCGTCGTGTTTGGGAGATACTTCCCTAGGCACCACCCATGGACTATGGACTCTGAAAGGTAGACGTCAGACGTCTACGACCGTCCTTCACAGCCGCGGTTGCAACCGGTTTTCCAAGAGCAGGCCCTGTAGGAGGGTCAAGAACATTGTAGACTCTTGATTAAGAATATCCCCACATGAAGAGATCTGTTGAATCCGGAAGTGATGTATTTATCAAGAGTCTACATTACGTTTATGTTCAACCCTTACTTGGGATGATTGATCCCACTTGGGATGATTGATCCTGCTGATATCATTGCCCTTCAACGGAGGCCACCCGGACCCCAAACAAAGACTCCCCCCACTGGATTTCAATCAGCCACGAGGCCCCTACTGTAGGCACCGTAGAGGCGTCCGAAGCCGCGGTCGGTCCAAGGTCTGCAAGTCTGTGGGTCCCCACTCCCCCCAGATGATCCATAGTGCAGCGACAGTCTCGCCTACTCGACGTCGATTGCTTGATGGATCGTCACCGATCTACGAATGCACTGGGTTCGCCTGACTCTTATCCATTTCGCTCTTTTGGGGGGTCTTTTCGCTTCACTGCGGTGCTAAAAGGAGATGTTCCTTTTCAACCTTTACTTTGGGATTATATTGTTACCAACAGGCCCTGGTAGGTCGTGGTATTTTTTGTGAATTGAAATCCTTAACCAGACCTGCAGGAAGTTGACGCGGTCACTCCGCGAGCCGGGCCAGCCCAGCCCAGCGTGAGAGTTGGGGCGCAGACAATGGCCTTCCCACCAGGGTGGGCAGACGTTTTCAGCCTGGGGATTGCCATAACCATTTCTTGAAGGGTCTGAATCCCCAACCGAACTGTTTTACTGATTGATTTGGGATTGACAAGACCTGGTCAATGTTTTTCCTTTAATGGATGCTATATGCGGGGAAGGTGTGGAGCATCCAGATCACCACTTGGGGTTTTCAACGCCTAGACAAAACACCTTCTGTCCGTCTCCAGACCATCCATGGGTCTGGAACAGGTACATAATAATGTTATATGTTTACCCCAGAAAAAATGATCCTGCCATGCAGGTAACTCTTTTATTCTCTTGCAGTTCCATACGGAAACATGTTTCGTTGAACCATGTCAGCGTCCGGTGCCAGGTACCGGGTCAGCTTGGTTCCCAACAAAGAGATCCAAGAGAAACACGGTCAAGGGATGTGGCCTTTTGGCATCCAACCGACCATTTTACAAAGGATTTGGTCTTTGCTAGGTATAGCTATCCTATGGATTGTTCCGGTCAAATGTCAGGTGTCCCATGCTGTTCGGGTGGTTGTCCACAAGAGGTTGAGCTTGGCAATTCACAATGTTGTTTCTTTCTTTTTCCCCTGCAAATCCTCCACCTACATCCCATGCTCCTTGCGATGGTGATTGTGGTATTGGCCCACGCTGGTCCAACTACCACTGCACCAGAAGGCTCACGCTTCCGCACGGCTGCGGCCGAAGCGACTGAGGGTTTGGGCGTCGGACGCTCCCACCCTGCAGATTGTCATTCAAGCTGTGATCCAGGCGGCCAGATGAAGTCGTCGAAGTCGTCGATGCTGTTGCGGCCAGATGCCTCACGTGGCCTGGCTTTTGCCTCGTTTTTTGGCCACGTGTGGCCAGTGGGTCTTGGCGGAAAAAGAGAGTGATTTTGGGGCAAACCCCTGGCGTGGGAATACTATTTTCATCTATTTTCCCTTTATTTTGTCCTGAAGCAAATCCAAGATCGGCTGTTTTTATCCTGAACACGACTCACAGGTGTTTCAGCTTCCATCTACTGCCAGCCTTTGCGGGGTCCAGTCCTACCCCGCAGGGTACGTCAATCCATCGGACGGTCGGACCGTCGGACCAGAACCCCTGAAACCGTGGGCCGCAGGGGGAGGTGCCGTGGGCCGCTGCGTGGGGAAGACATGTGCACGCCCTTTGGTTGGAGGCCAGTGTCCAAAGAAAAAAAACTGTTCTTCGGTTTTGGGACATGACCACACGCAGGATGTTGGGAACCCAACTCGATGTTCGTATGGTTTACCAACTTTGTGATAGATAGCTTTGTGGGCGTTTGGCTTCCTCTCTGCGTGAGGCACCGGCTGCAACGGTTCCAGCAGATGCAGAGTGCGCCATTTGCCTTGAGTGGCCTGGCTGGATGAAGCTTTCAATATCAAGGAATCCACACCAACTCATACTATAGGTCGGTGTTTGTATATGTGCGGGTGTACAACACATAGATACAGCATGTTGATGTAACATCGATGCTGTTTCCTTTGCATCATGAAGTCGCTTGCGGTGCACCTGATCTTTCAGCTTTCTACCATGGCTTCTGCAAGGGCTTCTGCAGGGACTGAGGAACCCACATCCGATCTTCACGTCTTAAACCAGTGGGTCCCACTTGGGACCCAGCGGGCGCACCTCAGACCGTCCGTCTTGCGGACGGTGCGTCTCCCGGCAGAGCCGTGAGCAACTCGCCCGCCCGACTCGCCCAAGGTCAGTGGAAGAGAGTGTTTGGAAAGCCTTGCCCTGTGAGCATGCCTTCCACCAGGAGCGAGTGACTTGGTTGGAGTTGGGAAGATAGATAGAGAGTGTACACTCCCGAAAACTCACTGGGAGACCTGAAAGTGGACCTTTGGAAGACGATTTTCCTCTACAACCCAGTGGTTTTCAGGTTCCATGTTCATCTTCCCGAGTGTATGTTTTACATGTTTTCCCCGTTCCTGAAGCAAATACAAGTCCTCCTTCCCGCTTCTATAGGGGTATGGACTTCTGTGTCGAAGTACCTCGGACAACGGGTGGTTGGAATGAATCAACGAGGAAGGTCACTCATGGACAGTGCATCTCCGTTTGGGGTGCAGTTCATTCGGAGTGCAGTTCTGGCACAACTTCCCTACGCCTTCCACGCTTTGCGCTCACGCTGAGCGAAACGGTTTCAAATATAAGTCGGTGCGTGTCATCAAGGCTTGGTTTGTGCTGTGAAACACAGTGCCGGGGTTTGTTTTCATCCTTGACCGCTTTTTTTCACACAGTCCCATGGGACTGACGTAGCCTACATGGAGTGCTTTACCTGGGGTCAATGAGGCATCTCAAGGTTCTATAGTTTTCTGTTCAGGGAATCGAATGCAAAAGACAGATAAAATATGGACCCATAATATATTTATATATACCTTTAAAAGAATGGAATTCCCACTTTTCATCTCCTTCCCATGGCTCCAGGACTGCCTCTTGCGCTGGCTCCGCTGCGGCCGTCGCTGCCCCCTGTGTCGCCTCGATCTGCATCGCGCCTTCCTGGAGACCGCGGCACCCGCCGTGTCACCCGATCCGGGCGAGGTGAGTGGATGACGGAGGGTCATCGGATATCATCGATGAGCGGATCAGGGAGAGATGATCGTGCGTTCGCCATCCCTGGGGCTCCTGTCCCATATCGAAGATAGAAACAGACCCTACAACCAACAAGAACCCCCTGGCCCATCGAAGCTGAGGATGTGGGACAGGAGGTTTACAGGGTATATGCTCACCCACATGCATTTCGAACACCTCTCCCATCAATTCCTCCGCCCAGTGGCACCGGCGCGAAAAGGCGTCACATCTGGGCGCCCAGACGGCGCACCAGATCGATTGATGAAGCAAAACAGATGCCGTGGGAGGCGCAAACGCTGGCAGTGGATAGATGAAGTGCGAGTTTCATTTCGGGTGGTGCTTGAAGAAGAGTAAATGAGATGATTAATAATAGTCTTAAGATGTCATACGCCCTTATACATTCCCTCATTTGAATCCTTAGTTTTAAAATTATTGCCAGAGTTCGAGGGCCGTTGATTTGATGCATGAGGAACTTTGCCTGTAAACCGGGCGGGGAGGACCCTGGGTTGATAATTTGCCACGCAAGCTAGCATTCAATATCCAGACACAACATGCCACAACCACGCTTCACAGCAAAATGACCTGTAGTTGCTTTGGCACTTGAAAACACATTAGCCAAAGAGGGTGCTTGTTCATTGCACTGGTCGTGTCGAGAGTCTCAGAGAGTGTATATGGCTGTTGGAAGCATCAGCTGATCGATTCAGAAGGTGACTTGGAGCCCCGACACCTCTTGGAAGGTCCTGGACGTTAACCTTGTTTTTTGAGTGCCAATCAGTTTTGAGACGCCATATGGCATATGTTTTTGGGTCTGTTTGGCTAAAACGATCAAAGAAGGTCAAGGACATGAGTTGGAGACGACCAAATTGAAAACACAACGCTACATTTAACAACATGACACAAGCGACTATAGAAACACCACAAAGCCATTGTCGTTGTGTTAACCACCTGAAAAAAACAGACAACCAAAAATACAACGCTAACGATCAACAAAACGACTCAAACGCTCAACATTTTGGTGCCACTTTGGCGTTTTATTCAATACACTTTGGAATCTTTGGAGTGTCCTTTGTGATTATATCGTAGGTTTCCGATGTAGTTAGGTTTTTGCTGGTTGATCGGCGATCAATAACTAAAACGACTAGATGTTGAATGATTCTGGCAGGTGAAGTGGCCCTCAATTCGGGTTTGGGCTTTTAGAAGCCTCAGAATTGAGAAAGTGCAGCTCCAACAAGAACACGTGCTCACTCACTCCATAGTTTCACCCAAAAGGGCTCGCAAAAAGCGGGACTCGCTCCGCTCTCGCACGTTCGGTGGTTGCGGCGGTGGTGTGGCCTACATCGGGAGACCCCGCAGCTGGGAGGGCTCACTTAAATTCGGTAGCTTGGAGCAATTCTCCAAATTTTGGCTATGATTCTGGAGGTGCTTTGAAGGGAAGGGAATTTGGAAGGGATGGGATAGGGTGCAGAGTCGTGTGTGTTGTGAGTGCAGGGTGAAGGATGGGGTGTACACCATCATTGGTGCAGGGAGTCCCGGTGAAAACGGGACTGTTTTTGGTCAACGCGCCCACCATGTCTCAACCTTTCGCAGGGTCTTTTCCAGAATTGATTCATCTTGTTTCCCTTTTCCAGGCAGGCAGCACCCAGTAAAACCTGGTCCCTTGTACCTCATTGAATATAGTATACCTGGACCCTTGAAGGGGTGCCTTGTCTGGAAGCCTATAATTATAGGTAGTCTGGGGTAGTCCAGCCAGGACACCCCGAGGGTCGGAGGGTCCTGGTATAATTACCCAGACACTCCATGGGACTGCCATATATGCCGCCCCATTGACCCCCAAAACCACCCCAACTGATCGGCATATATGGCAGTCCCATGGAGTGTCTGGGATTAGTACACTTTTTCATGACCAGTCCGTCTCGTCGTTCACCGAGTTTCTCCCATTGACCGCCCCGTCTTGACCGACCCATGGACCGCCACGGGAACCGGTGGTTCCCCGGGAACCGGCGCGGTCGGCCACGGCCACCGAACCGGTCGCTTGGGTGGTTTTTTCATGCGAACGGCCGTCGCCTGGGAGCAGGACTGGGTTAAGAGTGACCAACATGACCCATCCACGAACAAGTCCGGATGGTGAGCGCTCTCTTTTTTTTCTGGTGAAGTCCAGTGACCTGGGGGCAGAGCAAAAAGCGAGGTGAAGAAACAGACCCTGAGGGGAAATCCCAGCAGAGGTTGAAGAACCCGAACTAGACTATCCTAGTTCGGTACCTATCCTTGTCCCCCAGTTCAGGTCCTTTAACCTCGGAGCTTTCAGAGACGGAATGATGATGCCTTCGCTTTGGAGGGTCCATTCGATGTGGCTCTGCTCGGCCGACAGACAAGTCGCCACGCACCATCCACGCATACCGCAGGTCGCGGTGGCGGTGTGCAGCGATTCGTTGGAGCGAAGGTCTGAGCACAAGGAGCAGAAGCTGATGCTAGAGCTGGAGCTCGAAGGCGCAGAAGGGTTTTTGGTCGGACCCGCTTAAGGATCCGGTTGGGAGCCGTGGTTTTCTCTTGGTTTGATTCGTTTTCTTTGGGGGGGGGTGGTCTTGAAATATCACTGAGACATTGACATGTACAGAGAAAGACATGGCAAGACACATCTCAAGTGCATGACCTCTTGCTTCATACCTCTTGTATCGCTGCAGATGTAACGTTCGCGTAGTCTTTTTGCCTTTCCCAGTCTCACTCCATGACACAGTCGTAGTCCTTTTGGCTGTGCAATGGGTCGGACGTCAGAGTTCGACCGACGTCTTGAGGCCTCACAGAGTGGTCAGACGTCTGGTGTTCTTACGGTATAGTAGTTAAGGCTGGGTTTGACATTCTTCCTACAGAGGTTAAGGGACCTGAACTAGGACCCTACGGGGGTACCTATTATAGGATAGTCTATAAGGTTCTTCAACCTCTGCTGGTTGTCTGGCTACTGTCAGTTGCTGCCATTTGCAGCGCATTCTTGCCTCTTGAGACCTTCGAAGCCGCTCACAAACTGCTGGGCTCGAGCGGGTGCTTTCTTCGACTGCGCACTCGTTCTGGTGCCACGCGCATTTTCGGACTTACTCTTCGTGGCAGGTGCAGAAGCCTCAGACTCATGCTTTAGGTGGTCCAGTTCGTCGACTTTTCGTCTTTTCGTGGCAGCTTCTGGAGATCTGAGCAGTATGTGCAGAGCAGATTTCGTGGCAGGCGCGGCGCACTTCGTGGCAGGTGCGATGAATTGCAAACTTTGGACATGTGGTTCGTTCTGGATTTGGGGGAGGTAACGCGCGGAAGCTTCATTTCGGCATCACGAACCTGTTTTCTGAAGTGCTGCTTCTGGTGCAAAACGTGGCAGGGCTGTGAGATGTGAACCAAGTGACCAAGTGCAACTTCATGGCGGGTGTCGAAGCACAGATTTCGTGGCAACTGCAGCGCTTTGTGAACCTTGAACTTGGCAAGCGCAGCGCCTTGTGAATCTTGAAGTGCGGATGTCATGGCAGGCGCAGCACTTTGTGAACCTCAAGTGCAGACTTTGTGGCAGGCGCAGTACGCAGTACTCTTGTGAATCCGGGAGGCAATTGGTGTGGCTTTTGTTGGCTTCTCATTTGTGCTCGAGAACACACGTGTTTAGAATCTAAACAAGCGCGTGCTTTCAGATGTGCTCTCACACGTGTTTTTGTGTGTGCTCTCATGTTTGTTCTCTCAACGCCCGTGGGCTCTCATGTGTTTGTTTACGTATATGTGTGCTCTCATGTGTGTGGTCTCTCATACTAGTAGCTGTGCTCTTATGTGTGTGCATTCCTTTTGTTTGTCCTATTACTTGTAACAGTCAATAATGAACAGTTTAACTATTTTTGAACTGTTACAGGTATTAGGATAGACCCGATGCATTGCCATATTTTTGTTCTCGAATTGTGCTCTCATGTGTTTGCTATTGTTTGCTCAACACCGTTTGGGGTCTCTTGCCGGGATAATTTCATGATCACCAACACCTTTCAAACCACAATACCTTTCAGTCGTTTTCCGAACGCGGCCGGACTGCTGTCATCAGGACGCACTTCAAGCCCTCTGACTTCAAGCCGCGTCAGCCCGGCTTCCGAAACTGCTTCCGACATGTCCTACTTCCCTGACACCAGCCACGAGAATGGAACGTGCAAACCTTGTGTCTTCTTCTTCTCCAACTATGGATGTGGTCGGGGAAACAGGCGACGGGGGCGTCGTTCTAAATGGCTTGGTTTCGGGCGTATTTTCTTAAACGTTAGACATTTGTTGGGAACAGTTGCTGTATTCAAAGCCTGTTGCTGGAAAATGATGAGTAGCAGGACTGGTTTGGGCCGCTAACCACTCTAAACCAATGGTTTCTGACCTCTGGAATGAGCATCTCCTTCTTCCTTCTTTGAAACGCCAAAGGTCGTGGAAGGGGCTGGTCCAGAGGACTGAACCAGAACCGTTGACTGAACAGAGGACTGAACCGCTTCCCCAGGAAAAGTGGATCACCAGCTGGGCACTTTTGGGGGGGCATTGAGGATACCTCGCTAAACATGCACAGGGGAAAGTTTGTCGTTTTTCCCACACACTCCATGTATGCCATATATATATATATATGCCTATATTGGGGTGGTTTGGGGGGTCAATGTAGGCATATATGGCATACATGGAGTGTATGGGTTTGTTCTTTTCTCCAGAGATCGAAATGGTTTGGGAAGTCAGTGTGATTTGTTTGACCCTTTCGGAGATGAACCAATGTGAGGAGGTCGATTGCTCCTAAGGCGTAACCACTTCAGAACAATCAGTGCCCATGACTAGTGGCAGAAATGAGAGGTGCGTTTTGAGATCGCGGTGATTAATCAGAGATTCTAGTTGCTAGCGTGTTCCTTTGCGAACTGGTGAGGTTTTCAGACAGACCTCAGTGCTGCAAGATGTCAAAAGACCTTGGATGGGTTTGCAAAGCAGACCACATGCAAGCACCATCTTTTTCCCACGAGAAGGGATCATTTGGCTGCACGCCGAAGCCCTCTACTCCTGGTGAGCATCCTAAAAGTGAACGCAACACATTTTACGGTGAGCTGCTCACCTGCCGTGGTTTTGAGTGGTTGGGCTACTCACCTTGACCGTCTCAGCCCTGTGGTGCGTACAGTTGGCAGGTGTGAATATTGCCACCGTTGGCATGAAGAGGTGAGGCAAGTGCGGCGTGTGAGGCAAGTCAGTCGCCTTAGGACCGGGACCTGGGGTCGTGGTCGGTCGTTTTCTTGTGAGTGTACAGGGTTGGAGCTGTCAAGAACAGGTTGGAATCAACAAAACACTCTCAGATAAGTTTGCGTAAGAGGACAGAACTTAGCGGACTGGGGTGTCTTTCATGTCTTAGCGGACTTGTTATACCTCCGCTTCTTTCTTGGTTCGTTCGTCACACATTTCTGGAACAAACCAGAGATGATCTTTGGGTGGAAATGGTGAAAAGCACTGTTTCCAGTCAACCTGTATACACACCTTACAGAACCCGTGGTTTGAAGTTTGGGAAGCCGCTTCTCCATGAACTCACACCATGTTTCGGCCCCCAAAAAGAAGTCGCTCAAAACCTGCGGCTTCGGCCGTTTCAGTGGTCGATTTGGTGGAGACTCAGTACCTCAGTGGTTCGGGCCCGGAACCCAAAACACCCCGACCCCCAGGCCCCAAAGAATGTGTCTCCCAGCAGCTTCGTGAGCTTCGTGAGCGAACCCTCGATTCTTCGCTCTGCGTGGCCCGTGGGATCCATCGGTGGACCGGCAGGATGAAGAAGCGTCTGGCAGCGATCGCCGGCGGCGACGGCGATCCTCATGTTGTCATGGTAGAACTGCAAGAACTCGCCTCGCATCATCCATACTCGTACGAGATGCTCGGCACGTTCTTGTTTTTTGGTGTGTGTGGGTGTGGTTTTTGTTTCCACAAATGTTGATGGGCAAAGGGAGGATGATAGAGGCAGATACTATACTAGCTGGTTTTGATCCAGGTGTCGAAGACGGGGGTGTTTTCACGTCTTCGGGGAACGATGGAAACAGATGCGTGGCTGCTGGGTGACGGGGTGACGGGTTGATAATTGATGTAATATCCCAGACACTCCCTGGGGCTGCCATATACTGTATACCGATCGGTTGGGGTGGTGCCAGGGGGGTTAATGGCGGCATATATGGCAGTCCCATTAGTCGTGTCTGGGATAAAGTATACCAGCTTTGAGCCCCTATCCAAAAGCTGATGAGAGTTTGACAGGTGTCCATTGACCACCCCTGGGTGGATGTGGGTGGTATTCAGCAATGGGAAAAGGTGCACAGACATTGGCCTAAAACGCCGCGAGCGGCAGATGACGCTTTTATTTGGGCATCCTCAAACTGGGGAGAGTTCAGAAGGATTTGGTCTCCAGGCTGCTGAAATCCAAGTTCGGACTTGAGGCTCTTGACTCTCTGTTCAGATGTCATTTTTCGAATCCTCCCGGAGGTTCCCTACAATTTCGGCAGGTTCTAAGCAGCAACCTGTGGCCGGCAGATCCCCTCGATGGGCCCTTTTTAGTTCGGGGGGCCCTGCCGATCCCCTCGCCACACCTGAGGCTGGTCCGATCCATTCTGAATCGATGGGAGCTGCGAGTGGGCTGCGCCAATATTACTGGAGTGGTCTTCTCTGTGTAGTACGAAGTGTATACCACCCCCTCAGGTATAGTCTATTATAGTCTAAAGAAACCTCAAGTTCCTCCAAGAATTGAATTCCTTCAGACCCTCACAGTTCATGATCGTTGGACTGCGCTCAAGGGCAGGTATTCGTGGGACAACTGGTGGACGACCGCTTTCCAGGACCCCAAGTCCGTTTTCGGACCTCCGGCGGCACCTGGTTGTTCAGGCTCAACATGGCGCCATGTCCGGGGTCCCTTAATGGCGAAGCCCACCAGTGGCTGGGATTGTTGTGGATCACAGCGGAATCGGAAAGGCACTTGGAAAAATCTATGAAAATCTTGGAACCCCCT